GTGATAGTACTTATAGGTCGGAAGATTATTAATGGAAGGTGTAATATTTATGAGCCTTCATCAGTGGTAGGTGATTGTCTTATTCTGCAATGCAAACTTTATCATTGCTTGAGCATGATACTATTTGTCAAATAGGCATAAAGACTCATTCACATGGTCAGAAGCCCCTGAACTATAATCCACATGCTATTTTGTTGTTTTTAAGGTTAGGAAGAAAGGTCATATACCTGACTTGGCAAAGTTGGAGGAAGTTGCTGCAGATGATTGAGTTGAGTCATTACAGAATACGTTTTAAGGTTTGTACCTCTTCATTCGAAAAATTCCCAGCATTAGAGACTCGTATTGTCATTAACGTGTCAAAAGTCTTAGACAGGTCAACCAACTTGTGTTTGTGTAGGATTGTTTTGCTTACAACCAGAATCTCCATTTGGTCTACCATTAAGCTTCCAATAAATCTTTTTGGTATGTCTTGATTTACCACAGTAATCACAGGTTAGATGAGCTTTGTCTGACATACCTTAGTGACTGGGCCTTGGTTTTTCACAGGCAATGGCAGTGACCAAAAACCTGCCTTGTCTACAATTGAACATTTATGTTACTCTCTTCTTGCTGAACATAGGAGTAGGCCCATCATAGTGAAGGTAATGGATCCCGACCAAGAACCTGGACCTGAATCTGGCCATGTTCTATATTATGTCAATTCAGTCGTAGATTTGTTCTTTTTCCACTAGTTTTTTAAAATTAGTCATGTCTATTGGGCAAGCTTCCTGAAAATCATGGTAATCATCTAATTATTTCCATAGACCAGCCATCTCACTTGGTTTATTTCCATCAACCTTTTTCTGCAATCCATGGACCTGGGTATATCCTTGCTATCATGGTAATCAGCTAGTTTGGACATATTTCCTTTAATATATCCTTGCAATCCCTGGGCCTGGATAAACAATAAGCAAGACCTTGTTTACTTTAGGCCAAGTGGCAATAAAATCTCTTTCAGTTCTGTCTATCATCCTTAAATGGATGGCCAAATTGAGGTGGTTAAGTGAACCGTAGAGATGTATTAGCATTGTTTTACAGGAGATCATCCCACACAACGGGTTAATTGGGTTGGTTGGGCTGCATACGCTTACAATGCTGGATTTTATTCTCCTATTAAGGCCACTGCCGTTGAAGTAGTCTATGGTCGTCCAGCACCGAAGCTTCTTTCTTGCTGTCCTGGTTTATCTAAGATCGTACTGCCATACATTATTGGGCAGCAAGCGCATTCTGAAATTTGCTACCTGTTTTTATGGTCTTTTTTCCATTCTTCAGCATACTGGGGAAGTTGCTTACGAGCTTGATCTACCTGTTGCTTTGAGTTACATCCAGTTTTCCATGTTTCTTCTCTTAAACTATTCCACAGTCAGAAAGATGTTACTCCTACACTTCGAAAAAATATTCAGGAAGGTGAGGCATTCCTCTTCGTTCCCTACAAGCTCCATTGGATTATCAGATTCTTAATGTTCACTTTTAAATTATTACTCATGGAAAGACTCTCCCCAGCAGGATGCCTCTTGTGAGCTTGCTGATCAAATTGCTCTCATGTATCCCGATTTTGCACTTAAGAACAAGCACAATTTGGAGGGAAGAGTGATCTTAATGATTCTAGAAATAGAAACATAACATCTTTTGCTAAGGTGAACCAAAGAAGAAAGAAAAATTAAGTGCGGTTACAAGACCAGTGTCTTTATTTTCTTACGTTCTTATGAAGTTATGTATATTAAAAGTGTTTTATTCTGTCAAGTATTTTGCACTATACATGTACTATGCTGTAAATATTGACTTAGTCTAAGAATAAGATAGAACTTATGTGTATTAAAAACCGATTTGTTATGTGTCGCTGTAGAGGTATTAGGGTGTGAATGCTGACTTAGTCTAAGAATAAGATAGAACTTCCTAATATAAATCGGGAAAAATCATTAAATGTGTTCAGTATTTACCCAAGAGATAGTAAGGTTCTTTCTTAACGAGCCATATTTTATATTAAAACCAATAAAGGCAGTAAACTTGAAAAACTTAAAAATTTCTGCAGGTTTGATGTTAATCTATGAGGAGGGACTCTAACATAACGATACCCCTTACAACGACCAGACACCACAAATCACACTAGATTGTTTACTTTAGGGGTCCAATATTGTCAAATTAAACTAATTGGCTCGAGTTTTAAAATGTTTGACAGAAAATGCTGAATCTTCCATACAACAGCCTGTCCTGTCAAACAATCCATAGTGTTTACTTTAGGTGTTGTTCTGCTTTAGCCTCCATCTCAGCCTAGTCAAGTCCATTATTATTTT